ATGAAGAAGACGTGGAATTGGATGAAGTGGTGTTCTTTTGTTTATCTGTCTTCGAAGTGGTCTATATAAGGACCAAATTGATTAATATAATAAATAAAAAAATAATAAAAAATATATATCAACCCAAACAATATCCTCTGTGTTTTTCATGCCTTGCACACTGCTAAACTGAAAAAGAGGGGCATAGCACTTAACTTGGCATTTAAAATGAACTTTACAGCAATCATATGGAAATATGAGGAGTGGGCTGAGCATTTGATTTCTTGTTGATATATTGTTGAGCTTTGATTGACTTGTGTTTGATTTCATTTCAGTTTAATAAAAATCACTTTGGGTAGCAAAGGCCCTTCACCAATTAAACCTCTAGACTCAATATATGACAAATGTAGTTTTGTGATTTCCTCCCAGCATGACTTGGTTATAAGAAGAGGTGAAGATCGTAGTATGAATCACGTACTGTTTTTCTCCGCCCAATTTCCTGTAGCATTTGCATCTATAATGATACTGTTTTAAGACGATGCATATAAAGCATTTATATCTGTTGCCTTCATGTGTCATAGTGATGGTAATGGTGATGTTTCATAGTAGCCACTAATAAGAGAGCGTGATTAGAATCTTGTTAGTATTTTAAATAAACCCAAGTGTTGAAGTCTGGCTGCACAGGTTAAATTATTCTCCTTGAATCTTGTTCACCTGAATGCTAATGTCAAGGATTGCTGTGGGCTTTTTTCATTTAAATGGTAATGTCATAAAATGGATTGGTTTGGATTACAGACTACATGAAATCACTACACTGAATGTTTATTGAAAAACTCCATCCTGGAGTCCTAAAGCACCTGTTCTCTCATCATTTCCCTTCCTCTTCACTAAAAAACTAAATCAAGAGATAACATATTTATCTGCATGTGAAACTAGAAGGCATGCCCTTCCACTTGTTGTGGTCAAGAATAAACAAATCATGTTCAGTTGCAGTATTGCATGAGGTTGGTTTATGGGTTAGAGCAGAGGTTTTCAAACTGAGATCTAGGGAACCCAGGAATCCTTTGAAAAAAAATTATATATATATAATTTTGTTTTATATATATATAATTTTTTTTTTCAAAGGATTTGCAAAATATATTTTCTGGACTGTCCAAATTATGTTAACTTAAAATATTTAATGTTTAACAGTAATTCTTAACACATTTATCAATTTTGTGAGTGCTGTACAAATTAAATTGAAAACATTCACTTCAGGTTTATACACTCAACAGTACTCTAATTGTGAAGATAATTCACTGTTAATTTAATAGTAGATAGCCTAGTTTCCTATTTTCCATTTTTGACAGTATATACAATATATACAGTAATATCATGTTTACTGTTTTCACTCTAAATGGGTCTTCATGCACGAAAATAGCTGCCTTTAACATTTTACGAATATATAGCTATTCTTCTAGAGCTTGAAAACTCCCGATCTAAAGTGATGGGCAGGTTAATTCATCTTATAATGGGCTAATTTTACAACAAACAAATAATTAACCTACTACTGAAACCCGATGATACATAAATTACGGACATGATACACAAAACGACGCTTTTCAGGTAATGTTATTTATTTCTCTTATGGTTTTTGCTTGAATAACGTTTGCACAGCGGATTATTAAAAGTAAACCTCGCGCAATAATTAGAGTGTTTGAGCTATGGTAGTAATTTGAATAACATAATGGCTTTATAGAGTTGCTGAGATTTTTGGATGATTGTCGTTTTCAAGAAGTGATCAAAATAATCCATGTTTATTTCGCTTTTGGATGATGAGGGAGGCTGTGGCGCCATTGCCGCACGACGTAAAGACGAGAGAGGCGCGGGTGCGCCCCCTAGCGGGACATGACGCATTTACACGCACGAGCAGCGCACTGGTCCTGATGCTGCAGGATGCGGTATTGATGCAGAATATGACCTCGCTTTACGCTGCATCATGAGGCTCAGTCTCTGTGGCGCAATGGAATAGCGCGCTGGACTTCTAATCCAGAGGCTCCGGGTTCGAGTCCCGGCAGAGATGAGTCGATAATGACGCCATCGCGGAATGATGGCTTTTTTAATGCATAAATAGGTCTTATGATGCTTAATCGTAGCTGAGGATGCAATGCACATTACATTTTAGTGAATGAACACACTCTTGTGTATGCCTAGCAATAAACCGTTCGTTATGAAAACAATAATAAAACATCCATTTATTATAATTTAAAAATGTAAAAAGCCTAGTTTATGCGGTTGTATGAGTTTTTCCACAGTTAATTAACTATCCAACGGTTTGCAAACGACATGTAACGGTTTGGTAAATTGCAATATATAGTATTCTTGATTTTTTTTTAGCCTATATTAATACAGCAAAAATAGCATTTTTTCTTTTTAGGGATGCAATATTATGCATGTTATGTAGAGGATGCAATATACAGTATATTAGCCTACCTTTTTTGTGAATGAACCCCTATGTATGCATATTAATAAAACACTTTTGATTTGAGAAACATTATTACAACCCCAGCTTTAAGAAGGGAATAATATGCAACGGTTTGGTAACTTGCAAAACAAAGTATTCTAGATTTTTACGTTTTTATCCCACATTTCTAATACATAAAAAATGTCAATTTTTCTTTTTAATGCATTCTAGTCCCCTTTTGCTCTCTCAAATCAGTTCAGCTGTAATATACTTGTCTGTGGTCTTGCCAATAAAGTCTCTCTAACGTGAAGATAATTTTCCTGAATTGCACTGGGGAGAGCAAGAGAGAGAGAGAGAGAGAGAGAGAGAAAGGTGGAGAAAGAATGAGAGCCTGCCAGAGAGATGGAGAGAGACATCAGTGTCCTATTGATTTCCCAGCGAACGGTGTGATTGGCTCTTCCCAGTCATTATGGAATAGAGATAGAGAGGAATCTCACCTCTGCACTGCCTGATCAAACTCTACGGGAAATCCTCTTCCAAGAAACCCTCCTTCACTCTGTCGTGCATTTATCTGAATTGAAAGTGTGAATGTTCACTAGAGAGTTTCTCAGTCATTCATTTATCCACTTTGAGCTCATTTTCATCCTCTCATCCACCCACATGAGGCAATTTCACCAGTATCATCCTGCTTTGAAATTCCGTCTACAATTTTGCCATTCATATGTGATCCTGGCTTGTTCATCTACTTCTCCACAGGCAAGTTGGTTATGTGAGAGAAAGAGAGAGAGAGGGAGAGGGAGAGAGATGGCCATGAGGGCTCATTTTAATGCAGTATTTGATTTTATATGTTCAGCAAGTTATTAAACTGATCATTGAGACGTTCTGTTCATATTATCCCTCTCTTCCTGTCTCCCTCGCACGCCTGGGCCGGTCGGAAACTCGGGTGTTGGTTTCTGCGCTTCTGGACACTCGCACGTCGAAGAAAAGGAATTGCGCAGGTCACGCGTGGACTGTCACAGCTCTGCGGAGAATGACGTCAGCGTCTCTATAAAATGATGAAATGGCCATGGGCTCTGTTTCCAAACACTAGAAACTGAAGGTACACTGGACCGCACTTCGCAGACTGAAATACAGTTGCCTGAATATTTTCTCAATCCGATAGGCTGAACTACCTCGGTGTGGAATGATGTAACCGGGCGCTTTCTGGGAATACCGGAACGCTCGCAGTACAGTCTCCTGACCGGTAGATGTAACTGTCTCATCCGTATCAGTGATGAAGACAGTGTTGACGTGCGTGCACAAGCTGGGATGATAACACTACAAACATACTGTATCTTTTTATTTACCGCATAAAGAGATTAATTTTCCACTGTCTAATCTGTGTCATGGTTTATTCACTCTGTGAAATTAATAAAAGCCGACAGGCTGTGGGCTGCTGACATTAGACACAAGTATGTAGTGATTTGGGCCGGAAGTGTCCCGCCCCAAGGCTCCGGTTGGCTGCTCAAGCCACCGCCACGGTGACCGAGTCGCTGCTCTCTCGGGGTATCTGCCTCTCGTGCGGTCGTCCATGTTTAACCCCGTGCGTCTCCCGCACCGCACAGTGAGTAATCCGCGTGCAGAACTAATCCTTAAATCCTATCGCGAGTCGCAACGCCCTCCCCTCCCTCCTGCCATCCCCTTCTCTCGCGCGGGCCACCCGAGCAGCCGGCGGGGTCTCCAGAGCCCGGCTCGCGCGGGGACTCTATTCACAAGACCACACCTCGCGCAGCCACCAACCTATATAAAGGGTCGACCCTCACGAAAACATTTCACCCCGAAAAATTGGATTAAGAAGATTGAACATATTTTCATGACCATGAAGATTTATTGTGACATTATTTTCATGACAACTAAGCCTTTGAAAAAAAAAATTAATAAAAAAAGCTATTTATCTCAACGACTGAGTCCAGACGTTTTGTAATTCACATAATTCTTAATGATGATTTTATTTACTGTAAACAGACATGTTATTTAATTCCGTGTAAGTTAATAAAATATATTTTCTTTTGAGTTAAATATTTAAAACAGCTATTTATTTATTTACTTGGTTATAGAAATTGCACAACTAGTGTGTTTTCTAAACATTAGGTAAATTAAATAATTTAATGTATTGTTTGCATATTTACTCTTTTTTTAGATAAATTAATTTATAATATTTTGACTTTACATTTTGCATTTTGAACTTCAAAGTTACTAATAACATCTATTTGTATATGCAAATATAATAAATTATGTTCTTTATTGTTTTCGTCTAATGTTTAGTCAGAAACACAAACAAACAAAAGGTTAATATGTTAAATATAAAAGTTATAAGTTTCGTGAGATTCTTCTAAAAACAGACTAGGCCACGAACTTTACGCACTTCTAACATAAATAATTTTATCAACAACAACACTAATAATAATAATAATAATAATCTCTCAGGCAGTATGGTCTAGCCCTATTATCCAAATGGTACGGCCAAATCGTATTAAACCCCCACCCCTCCCCCCTCCACACCGCGCGCCTCCCTCCCTCCCTCACTGCCTCCCTCCCTTTCTCCGTGCTTTCAGACAGACTGTTTTGCTGCAGTGAACGGTAGCCGTGGAGAGAGGAAAAGGCAAGAAAAACAAGATAGCGGAGGGCGAAACGAGAACCAAGACAGACAGATCCATTGGGACCTTAGCGTGAGCGCCAGCAGGCATAGACGGGTCCAACACTCCAGAACCGACGGATTCGACGGGCATCACGAGGAGCGCTTATAACGGTGCGTATTGTAATCTGCCCTCCTTTTGAGCACACAGACACGCAGGGGTATTATTGTCGTTGGCGTCCTGGCGCTTATGCTGAGGGGGGAGACACCTGTCAGGTTTGTAAATAGGGGCACGCTCATGCTCTGGAATGCGCCTGCATCCTCGCGCGCCTCTCCTGACGGGCGCACCGGGCAGGAAACCGTCCAACGAGCTCGGAGGTGTTAAACTATGAGCGAAGGGAAGAGGGTTGATGTTAAAGTGTGTTTAGGCCTACTGTTAATGCGCTGATGGCTGCTTGCCCCCTCACGTTTCCCCTCCCAATCGCGAGCTCTACCAGCATCCCTGCCGCTCCTTCTGCATTCAGCGCGCTCGGACTGTGTGCATCTGCTACTGTTTTCCGTGGTTCGGTGGGGCGTCCCGGTTGCGCGGGTGAGAACGGGACTGGTGCTCAGCGGGAGAGAGAAGGGGGAGGGAGGGAAATAAAGAGGAGAAGTGCGAGAAAAGAACCGATGAGTGAGGGAGGCGGCGCGGGTGGTTCCGTTTCGGGTCGCGTGTCACAGACTGGCAGCAGGTATCATCACCTCATCCCAACAGTCGAGATGAGGCGAGGCTTCGCTGCTCGCGCTGAACATCCACATCCACATCCACACACACACACACACACACGCACACTGACAGTTTGACAGCCACTGTCCGTCCTTGCCTCCCCCTATAGTTGCACAACAATACAAAGCATCTCTGCGCGATGGCCCGCCGCTCCGCAGGCAACGCCATGACTTGCACAGTTCACACAAGCGCACTAAGAGAGAGGAATAGGCAGCCAAACGACCTGGACTATTGTGTGAGGCTGCGCGCTGAATTCTCAACGGGCGACAGGTGCACCTTCCTCTCGCGCGCGCAGCAGTCAGAGCGGGAGAATAACGAGAGCGGTGTTAAAGGCTACCAGGAGGATTTCGGGGGCAGCGCTCTACAAATCTCAATTCAGGCACGCGCTTGCTTTTACGTAGCTCTTGTCGATTCAGAGTCCTTTTCTGGGTTACTGAATGACGAAGGGAATGTTTTCGATCACTGCGTCACATCACACACAGCGAGTGACACGAGGCGATCAATGGAAGCACTGGGGCAGCGCGGGAGTGAAGTGTGTGTGCTCAGCATCAATGCGACCAATCGGCGCTCTCCGTCTGTTAATGTGTGTATGTGTGTGACCTTTCTTCCAGTCAGCGCTTCGTAGAGCTTCTCCACTTCTCCGGGTCTCGAGAGGACTACTGGGTTTAACGCACTGGACGGATGAGCGGGATGCGCGCGCGTCAGAGTATGACATTCCCCGCGTTGCAGCGGGCCGCTCTCAGGGCGCTCGCGGCCTTGACGATGATTCTCGCAACCTCCGTTAGGAGCAACTTCGTTTTCGGTAAGAAAGGCCCCCCCTCCCCCTCTTCAGTCACTCAGCTCCTCCCTAATGTTTTCACTGTTTTCTGTTTTTACAAGGGAATCACAGAGCCGTTAATAAGCTCGTGGGGCACAGATGAACCTCCCCCCTCATTTCAGCTCTAACGGAGTTTTCTGCTGTGTTCTGTTATTTTGGGAACTATAACATTATCTATCTATCTATCTATCTATCTAAATTGTTGGTCTGAGTCTTCTTTTCATTATGAACTCATTTTTCCTTATAAGTGTTTTAACATACTTGGAAGGATTGGAGATCAGGAAATCGTATCATAGTTTTAGGAAATCATAACTGCTTTTCTTTTATTACAAATACACCACAAAGAGTATCTATCTATCCTCAAGCACATGTGCACACATTACATTACATTATACTAACGGAGATGGACTGAATTGTGTAGGTGTAGCTATTGGTTCTCTATAGAGTTTAGGACCGAACAGCATCTTTATCAAATCCTTTTCATTATAAAGTCTAAATTTGTTCACCAAGGAATGCAGCTTGTGTCTGATTCATTGTCACCGTTTCAGCAGACTGATGAGTGGAGATCATAACTGCTTTTAATTTGAAGTAGAAGTATAATTTCTGCACAAGTGTACATTACACAATCGCAATGAGTTGGAGTGAATCAGTCTACTGGCTTGTGTAGGTGTATTGTTACTCTCTAGAGTACTCTCTGAACAGATCTTCATCAAATGTCCAAATGTTTGAGTGAAAATATGGATGATTAATCATGAATGGTGATTGTGATAGAGTTTTCCTTTAGAAGAAGTGTGAACTGGACATTTGTGTTGAAATGTCAGATTCAGCGAGATGGTGTCATTGTTTCAGCAGAGTCATGAATTATTTTCTTTTCTTTCTTTCTTTCTTTCTTTCTTTCTTTCTTTCTTTCTTTCTTTCTTTCAATCCTGATCTCATCCTTTCTCTCTCACACACAAACTCTGTCAGCTGTTTTTGCTGCTTACTGCATTATTCATTATTGTGCTTTTTTTGTGTGGTTTTGCATATCCACTGGCCCTATGCATCCTTAATGCGAATGTGAATGTATGTGTGAGTGTGTGCAGATGTAAGAAACTCATACTTTAGTTTATATGCACTAGTGGAGCGGGTTGTTTAAGAGGTTGTTTGATTGGTGTATGAACATGTTGAGTGCTGTATCTATAGCTGGAAACAGAGTACATGATTTGTAGGTTTGTATGTTCTGCACTGTATGATCTGCAGCCATCAGATTTTAGGGTACATTAAATTACTTGTGATGCTGCTGGTTCCACCTACTTTTGCTAACTTTTCCTGTGCTGCTGTAACCAATCAGTGTATTGCAAGGTCTTTTCACCTATGTCCACTAGCATCATTCATTAGAACAAAGTGTAAAGCTTTTCACATGAATGCAGGGTTTACTACAGAATTCTGTTTTATTAGTGAGGCCCCGTCCACCCTTCATTCTACATGCGTGTTTACATATTAGAAATTAATACTTTATGCAGCAAGGCCACATTAAATTGGTTAAAAGGGACGGTAAATACATTTATATTGTTACAAAAGATTTCTGTTTCAAATTAATTATGTGCTTTGAACTTTCATCAAAGAATCCTGTAAAAATGTATCACAGTTTCCACAAACATTTAAGGAGCACAGCTGTTTTCAACATTGATATAGCCTAGTGATACATTGATAGAATTAGTGAAATATGCAGACTGTGCTGGAGTTTCTGTTGGATTTAGTGCAAAACCATATTGTTTACTATGAGTGGGTTAATAAAAGTGTATTAAATTGACACCATACCTTTGGTCATTAGCAAACATGATGATTATAGAAGATGATAATCAGACAATAGCGCTGTCTATTTTTGATTCACAAAGATCCGGCTCATAAGAGTCATTGGCTTGTGAATCAGACTATACTTTTAAATAACTAAAAAGAGTTGGCTCATAAAAGTAATATGTTCGAGAATCAGATTGGTGGCAGTTGATTCACTGAAAAGAGCCGGCTCACAAGAGTCATTTGTTCGTGAATCTGAATACACTGTCCGCGGTGAGTTTGTTTTCGAGTGCATCCCACGAAACCATTTCTTGCTATTATTTTGCAGTGCACGGTTACACCGCATTCAATACAGATTGCAAACCCACATTCATAACTCAGGTAAATGTGATTTGTCTTATAGCGACATCACATCATAAATTATGTATATATAAATGCGTTATATATAAGTAGGCCTATAGTCCATTTGAGGTGTACGCGAACACAGGTGGTCGACACATGTGCTCTAGAAAGCTTCATCTTTGTCCAGTGTCTGCTTTATTTTTCTCGAGAAGTTATGACCGATTAAATGTCTTTGTTCTCTTTTAAGCTTAAGTTGCTGCTATCTCATAACCCTCTAACAGAAGCATTTATCAATGCGTGTGTCTGTTGTTGTTGCAGTCTCTGCTATTTTGTTGTTGTTGTTGCGTCTCTTTAGTTTCATTTTCTACTGTGAAATAATGACTTGGGACAGTGTTGCCACCTTGTGGAAAAACTGACTAGTGCAAAACCAAGTCAATAATTTGCGCCGACGCCGACGCTGATGGCTGCCTCCGTGGCGTGCTCCGCAGTTGTTTTTATGTTTTTGTTAGTTTGTCCTGTCTTTAGTTATATCCCTGCAATCAGTTTCACCAGAGACAAATTGCTGGACATTCGGAAGTACACACCACCCGATATTTCACCGGTTTTCGATTATTCTGATGTTTTGCTGGACATTGTAGTCGGGGGAGCTGCTGCGCTGATCAAACGCTTCAGGACGCGCAGACGGGGGAAGCGAGCCGGCGCGCTCATCAAGCTAAGGCAGCGCGGATTCAGAACGCCGTTGCCTAGCATCCATCTGGCGAACCTCCGCTCTCTACCCAACAAAACA